AGCTGTTTAGTTTAGCTGAAACTTCTTCACAAAGCTTTTGCCATGGAATGAAAATACTTCCCTTTGATTCAGCATTCCAACTATTACATTGATGCAATAAACTGAAAATCGCTCCAGTCCGAAATTACTTTTGTAGCACTTGCACTTTTTTGGTCCAATTTTAAAAACAATCCTAACAAATTCTTGAATAAAAAAGTGCTTTTATCTTCACAGAAATTATGTAGAGTAGTTAATGAAGTTTATTTGTATTTGGTACATTGAGTTGAAATACCTGTAATGAAGGTCTTTTAAGCACCTGCTGTGGAACCTAGGACCCTGAATTAGATGATGTCCTAGTTAGCAGTTACCTGCTTAACAGTAAACGTTCTTTAAACATAACAGCAAATAACTGGACTTAGCAGAGGGAAATGCTGATGGCAGAACTTCTTTTACATCCTACACTGCTTCAGGTACAGGTGAATGGCAGCTAATGCTCAGCCTTGCTAGCATAATTTCATTTCCACAAAAAAAGCCACAACCATTTTGTAAAAGTGAGGGGAAAATCAGTCATGGCTCACACAGGCTTGTTCTTCATCCACAGCTCAAAGGTTAAAGCATCTATCCAGAACACTGAAAGTATGTTTTTAACATCTGCTGCCTGTGGGGAGCTGTAAAAGTGAATTGAAGGCCTTGGAGAGAATGTGCTGTAGACTTCTTCAGGGTGGCATTAAGGCAGTCCCTGTTTTAAAGGAATTCATACCTAAAGAAAAATTATGATTGTTCCTCCACTGGAGTGCACATTTGAACCTTTTCTTACAGCCTCAGTGATTTCTTTAGCACTGCAACTTAATTGTGAACTAGTGGTGGAAATTCTGAGCCATGTTTTAAAATAAAATCAGAGGTGCCAGTTGCACTGTATTTGGATTGTGTTGCAGTTGGCATGGCCTGTGCATTTTCAGTTGACAATTCCTGTTCAAAACTTCCAAAAGCTTACACAACTGCTCTTTGGGCTCAGGCAAAAATAAAGTGTAAATGTTGGAATGCTCAAGACTTCTTTCAAAGTATGTATTAGAGGAGAAAGGAAGAGACGTTTCATTGAGGGTTAATTAAAAAACCCAACAAAAACAATACAAACCCAATACAAACTCGGAATTTTCTGCAGAGCTGAAATGCCTCTAGAATTGTATTGCAGTCCCAGTTCCCAGATCCCTGTTCCACTTGTGATCTAAATGTGTGCATTCAGACATCTTCACTGTAACTGTGCAATGGCTGCCTGGGTGAGAGGGACCTAAAACCACTTCAGCATCTCCTCTTGCACTTTTGCAGAAGCATTTTAGATCTTAACAGGGCAAAGCAGCCTCTTACTAACCATCCTTATCAGGATACACGAAGTTAGTGTTCCATTCAGGACCTCAAAGCACATCTATCCACACAAAACCTAACACACACTCCTCACGTTAGAACAGCTACCCTGGTTATAAGCAATTTGATCCCCTTGCTACTGGAGAAAAGGACAAAACATAACCTTTCCCTCAATACTTAGAAGAGTGCTTTAACCACCACAGGCATGCAGAGATCTGTGGGAAGATTATGACCTCCCCTTTTCCACCCAACTGTCTCAGTTTGTTTCCTTAAGTGAGCTTGCCTCTAGAGTTTTGGGTTTGTGCCTTGGGAGTCTTGTAGCAGGCCTCAGACAGGTCCTGTTATCTTTCTTCTGTATGATGAATACAAAATGTCAGTTCAGCTGCAATGGGCAGCTTTTTTCAGGACAAGATTTACTTCCTGAAGGGTACTCCCTGAGTGCAAAGGTCATCTTAGACAGACTTATTGTTCCCTGTGGGAGGTAAAATTCAGAACTTCTTTAGGAAGGAATGAAGATGCATTTGCACAGAAGTTGGTAAAAGAATGAACTGTAACAGCTTTTCTCTCTCTCTCCCCCCTCCAGATGACAGATGTCATCACCAGTAGGAGGATATCTTCACAGAAAAATAATATAGCAAATAAGCTGCCAGAAGCTTAACAGATGCTTGGGAATATCAAGCATTAAGTTCAAGTCTTTTTCAATGACAGAGCTTTTCACAGAAAAGAATGGGCTGTAATTCATTTGGTGCTTATCAGACCCCAGGATTTCATCCAGCAGGCAGCTAAAGCATCTGGTGAACGGGTTTTATATGCTGGCAGGGGAGGAACCCTCAGTCAGAATCAAGTGAGGGCTGATGCAAGAGAGGTAAACAGAAGGAAGAAAACAAGAGAAAAAAGAAGAAACATTGCCCCTCCCCTTAGAGCACTGCAAAGGGGCTAGTATCCCACTTTGCCCCTCCTGGAGCTCTTTATGCTGATAAAAATATTCTGACAGGCCAGAAAGCTCTTGAGCGCAAGGAACCAACACTCACTCAAATAGACAGTATAATTAAGACACCAAGCTCCAAAGAGCTTGTTTGGATTGGAAAGTGACTGTATTTGTCTTAGTATGGCACAGTCTCTGGCTTCCCATTACATCATTCCCTTTTTGAACACTAAACATCTACTAAATGGCCAGTTTCATAGCTAGTACAGGTTTGTATTCAGTATGCTTTAAAAGTTATTTCCAATATAGGACATCCTTCCAACTTACTTATGAAACAAAACCAAACCCCTCAACTGGAATTGTGAAGACTTCATTACCAACTACTTTCTCTCCAACACTCAAAACATTTTGTCCTAGAGCTTGTCATATGCTCATAGACATTTCTGACTCAAATTTAATTACATCACTTCTACAATCAAGAGTGGATTGTTTTTAAATCCATCATGAAATCCTGCTACTTGTCTTTGCTTGTAAAAGCAGTTAAGAGTCATGAGCAGACAGGAAAGCATAACTTCACAAAAAGCAAGGGTCAATAGACTTTTGTTTTGGTAAAGGCCTTAGAAAATCTTAAATTCTATGATTAAGCATTTTACAGCTTTAGCTTTTTTGGGTTTATTGTGGAAAAGTGCATAAATGAAAGGATAATGGATAGATTGCAGCATGATACCATGAATACTATCTTCCTCAGAAAGGTAGTTCATCTACTAAGCGGAAACCCTTCCCAGTGTAAATCCAGTTGTAGATAGCCAGGTCATTACAGTCAAAGCCAGTACTGAAAAAACATCTCAACACTGGTGAGGTGCAGGCCAGGCAGATGTGGTTTGGATACTGCTCCTGACAGTGCCCAAAGGCAACCATTCTCTCTGGGAACTGTCCCTGGCACAATGTCAGGTGAGCAGAGCCTGGTACTGTGAGGCTCCCTCATGCTGCTCCCCAGGACTCAGGACTGTGTGCACGTAATTCTACCCTACTATACTGTCTCATTTGTAATTAATGCAAGTGAGTCTAAAGCACAGTTTGAGTATCTAGCAGACATTTACCCCACCCCACATGTACTGATGCAGAGCTCCAAGGAATGGGTTAGCTCACCTAAAAAAACCAAAAAGATGACCACGTTTTGTAAAGCATATAACAGTGTTTGAATCTGGCCTCATCTTTCACGGGGTTCAGAGCAAACATCTTTCTACTAATGTTCTAACATCGCTTTTAAGTTTCACTCCCATCAACATATCTTACAGTCATCTTTAGTCATCTTTGCACATTGTCCTTAAAGAAACTTGGGGCCAGTAAAAGGTCTACAAAGAAACAATTTGCTCTAATGAATGTGACAAATGCTTGCCAATTGCCAAAAAAAAATCAAGTTAGATGGAGAAATATGAATTTACTATTTCCTACCAAGAAATGGAAGTTTCTAAACCAAATGTTCATCAGTGCTCATGCAGGGCAGCAAGCTGTTACAAGAAATGATGTTTGGTAAAAGGCTGGAGGTAAATATTAATAATAAATTAAGAAATTCAGTGAGATCTCTGGCCATAATTTAAAAAAAACTGTGAAGAACTCCTTGCCAAAACACACACCACTTCCAGGCAGGTATTTCTGAGTATGGTGACTCCACCCCCATCTCATTGAAGTTTATGAGCTGTCGTATTAACAGATGTGCACATCCAATTAACTGTATAGCTATTTATGGATCACCAGTCTTTTGAGACACATCTAATTTTGATCTCATGCTTATACAAAGAACATTTCTGCATGAACTTGTCAATCTTTCAACTGAACAAAGAAGGCACAATCTCAAAATAAGGTAACCCAACAGTAATTTAGGACAGCACTTTGTTGGCTGGTTGTCCTATCCTGCCCAGCAAAGGAGACTCCCTTGAGGCTGACTCTTTTGTTGACTGTGACTCATCATCAGGTAAGACTAATCATTAATGGTGTTGTACCTTGCCTACATAAGAAGAGATTTCCCCTTTTCCCTTCTGCTCAAGTCTAGACTACCTGCATTCCATTCAGGCTTAACTACATTGATTTTGAACCTTGTAACAATATAAGGTGATCAAACATTGTCCTTAGCTGGCTGCTGTTTTATTGTTCGATAGCTAAAGAACCCATGCTGCAGGAAGGGGAGGGGAAGAAAATTTAAAAAATAACTTGTAATAACTCCCCAGATTCAAAATACAATGTACAAAGTACAGCATTGTATTCTCTCCAACCTGTTTACTGAAGGGGCTTTGCAAACATTCAGGTGAATTTGTTGTTCTGCCCCACCAACTGCACAAAATGACACAATCTGGTACAAAAATATCCACTTTAAAAATTCCCATGTGAGAAACCTCTTAAAAATCTTTCATCTCCAATCTCAATTTTCTATCAATCTCAGAAACACCTATAATAATCACATCTGTGGAATGGTTACTGAAGAGTGCTACTTTAATGCAGCATTTGTTAAACACAGTAAATTTGTTTTTTATATTGTTCTTGTTTTTCTTCAATAAAGTTTTGCCTTACATAGTTTATACAATTCCAGAAGTAAAACTCCTTCATGCTCAGGGCAGAGCAACCCAATTGACACTTGCATTTTTTACTGTATTAAGAAGTCAAGGGGGCTTATAAAGACACTTAAAAGCCACATCTTTCAGCAGACTAGGGAATACTCAATTTCAAACTCAAGTTCTTGGTGAGAATGAAAAAAAAAACAATTACAACTAGTTTATTTGGGTATTTCAAGCTTGGTTACAGGGACTTTTCACTGACAAAAAAAAAAATCCTGCCACCTGCATTCTTAAGAAGATCATTGTGATACAAAGATTACATTTCTAAGGGTATCGCATACAGAAGTGGAAAAATAGAGGATTCCCTTTCTTCTTTTATTATGCAAATAAAGCTTTCCAAATATTCACCAAGGACTTTAGTCAGACCCTAAAGGGGAAATTTACCCTAGATAGAAACTGATATTGGAAGATGATCCAGCAGATTTCAGGCTACCTGTAATATCTCCAGCCTTGAACTCCAGAAGAGAACAAGGCCAGAGTATCTGACTAGCAATTCAGTGAAATACCTCACTGCTCTGCAAGGACAGTTTCCTACCACTTTTAAGTTTTGCAAAATGCAGACTTCATACCTGATTTAAATAAAGTAGAATAAAAGCAGGACACAAGGAAAAACTTGTCTGACAAATGATCAGTCTGAGACAGGTACTATAATCAGAAACAGATTATGAACATACCAGTTTATGTCATGAAGTGGTCACAACCTTAATGTAGGTTAAACAGCAGCTTCTGGATTTACTTAAGATCCCAGAATATGGAAAAGGAAAGTGATTTTAAGTTTCTGATAAAGTTAAAAATATTACAAATTTTTAGCTTTTATTGAAAATTAAATATATTAGCAAAAGCAAGATTTAAGAAATATTTTACAAATGATTTACATACAAGAAAGCCAGTATCAGACATATTCACAAATATGCAAACCTTTAATTACAAAAAGTACCTATTGGCAGCATGATGCTAACCTTGCCACTGCAGTGTGCTCTACTATTTATATGAATAAGGCATAGAACTCACATTTGCACCAACTTAAAAAGTTCAAATAAAACTTTAAGCTTTTGAATCCTGGAAGCACAATCCCCGACAGACACACGCACACTTAACATTTCTTCTTCTAAGCTCTACAAACTAAGTGTGTGCTCTGGAAGAATAGTCTGAAAAGCCCAGTAGAAATGTAACTGGTACTAGCATTTAGATTTCAGTTTCCTCTTTAAAATGTACACGCCTAGGTATGTAAACCATATTCACAGTTTTAAGTATTTTTAGACAGAAGTACCATTTTTTTCTGCATTTGTTCCTTAAAGTTGGCTCTCAGCTCAGCATACAGTTCATGTCACTTGTTTTGTGATGCATACCTTTACAAGATAACTTAAAAAAATCTGTGCCATATTCATGGTCAAGTTAGTTAAACAAGAGTAGTAATAACTGTGACATTCAATACTGTATTTCAAATATTTGTGCAAACAGCAAAAAAAGTTGTTTGAGGCAAACATTTGCAAAACCTTTATTACCTCCTCAATGTTGTAAACTTGGACTGTCAGCCTTAAGTCCTGCACTTCCACAGCTTAGAAAAGTCAATTCCTAAAACGATCAAGTCTCAAAAAGGTTCTTTTCTACATAGTGCAAATTTTAATGTAGATAACGTGAAAAACGTATCTAGCTGGATTGACTCTGTGCAATAGTCAGTGGTCTTCTCTCATAGCTGAAGAACATGTGCATCCAATGAACCATGTGGTTCAGGAAGCCAGGAGGGTGGAGAGAAAAAACGGTTCCATTACACTTCTCAAACCAGTGCTAGATGTGCAAAGGCAGCAAAAATTCCAGCTGCTACTACAACCAGAACAGAGTAACTTTTCAGGAAGACCCAGGCGGTTAGTCACTTGGACTGGTCTCTAGAAAAATAGGTGAGTATATGTTGGATTTTTATCAGTCGGTCTTTTAAAGACATCATGGAGAGAACTGACAGCTGGTACCTGGGATCTACTGGGAGAACAGCTAGAAGCCACCAACACCAAGCAGGACCATTGGGCATTGCCTAGAAATAAAACATAAACTGGTTACCAATAAACAATGTCGTACAGTTGACTACCATGGAGACATCAAAAGACAAAGTCATCAATGACCAAGACTTCTTTAAAGATTGATATAACTGAGAAGTCAAATGAAGTACACTTAAACTAATCTTCTAAAGCAGTAATTTTTAAGACAACATAGGAAGCTCATAGATTCCTTGGGAAAAGATGGCTAAGTACAAGACAGCCACCCAATGACAAATCTCCCTGATAAAAATTAAATCTAATTCTTGTCATGCTGTTCTTAAGGCTTGAATATTCTTGAAGCCTAAAGTTTTCGTTGTAATTACTTTTATTTGATGGACTTCTCTGTCACCTCCCAATTCCACTCCCTTCTCATTACCTTCTAGACAGAGCGGGACTACTTAGTAAGTTTCTTCTAAGCAGTAAAAACTGTAACTTTTTCCTATACTTTAATTACCAACAGCAACCATTAGATGTCAGGCCTTGAACTGGATTTAATACTCCTCAGTAGAGGTCCTACTACTGCAGAGAATATTACGGACCTCAAGTGTTTTGCAAAATTGTTACTGGTAGTGGTACACTCCAGGATAACATTTCCTCACTTGCAGCTGTTACCACACAGCTGACACATTTGTGTCCTATTATAAATCTCAAGTACACACCCACAGTATTGCTACCCTGCTAATTATACTGGTTTTGCACATGTATCCCTCTTTACTAGTATGCTGTTTTAAATCTATTTTTATTCAATTGTTCTAAAAATCCCTTCTGACTTCGTGCACTGGCCTCTACAGCATCTACAGTTCCCTCAGACAGGTTAATGTGGTGAGAACCCACAGAATAGAGGGGCCAAAGTCCTGTATACTTTAAACCATCTAACAATATTGCAAAACTCCCAAACCCTTGTCATCTTAAAAAATTTCTTATCATTACAGTCCTGTAATGACATCCAGTTACCTAAACCTAAGGTTTAGGTACAGGGCCTCATCACTAACAAATGAGAAAGCCCTTAAGACCTTGTCACTCGAAAGCACGGATACACAGGCCGGTATTGGATGGGTTCCTGCTCGGTGTGCGGGACCTGCCCTGTGCTCTGCTCTGCACTGCAACCAACAACGCCTCCCTGACGGCCCCACAGCAGATGCTGCAGAACAGTGACCAGAACAACCCTCTGCACCAGCCAGATAAAAATCTAAAACCTTTGGAATGACAACTCACCTGTGATTTCACCTGGACCTCAAGAGCCGGACACTTTAAGGACATTACTACCAAAAGCAAATGCTGCCTCTGATAGTTTTAAATGTTACCTCTGATAGTTTTTAAGTTGGTTGTTTGTCACGTTCAAGTTGTAAGTTATAAATAATTAGCCTGCAGCATGCCACCCAGTAAAATTGTGCCTTTGATAACTCCTAGACATGATCATAACATTTTTGATAAGACACAACAATAGCTAGAAAGATCAGGCTTGTCAAGTTTAGTGAAGAACTACATTCTCCTTGTACTGTGTTTGCTGTCCTTTCTGCAAAGGCCCCTGCAGAGGGATAATAAACACAGTTTTTATATTTTGGAAACAGAAAGGGGGAACTATAACAGCAAACAGCTGGACTGTGAGGCTCACAGACTCCTAACTTTAACCTGGTAAGCCTAGAGAGGGCACTGAGAGGAGGAGGGATCTGGCTACAGAGAGCGGGTGCCAGCTAGTCCCTGATGAGAACGTAAGCAGGTAGCTATTGGCACTGAGGTGGGCAGTAACCAAACCCGAGTCACTCAGGTTTGAATGTGGAGTGTTTGAATAACCTGTATAAGAGCTGTGCATGCCATTAAAGCTCCCTCTGGCGCATGAACTCCCATGCTGTGTTGTCTCTCTGTCTCCCCCGGCCATGACAGGTAAATACAGTTTCACAGAGGTATGTAGCACATGGGTGAGGGACAAGCTCCCCTAAGATCCCAATTCACATAAAACTCTGCTTTGAAAACCAAGTCTGATGTATTTTTAAATGTTACTTTTCTACAGCCTCCACTCCCTCAGGATCTCACGTTCATTAATTGTTCATAATAACTATCAAAACGGATTGCTGCAGCTAGTTTCTTAAGAAACATTTGTCAAATGCTAGCAGCTGCAGCAGTTTATGGCACTAGCTCAGAAAGGAGGAACATGTTATTTGTCATTACTTCTTTGACAAAGGTAACTGCCTGCATGTGGCAGATTGTTTCTTTACTTTCACAGGGAGAAAACAGAGAGCTTTTTCATTTTGAATTCTAACAACTTTACTAAACTAATAGTATAACTGTTACTGGAACTTAAGAGTGTTTTCAGTTTACTGGTTTTATTTCCACATCAGCATATCATCCTTTCCTGGAGAAACTGCTGACCAGTGACAGAATTGCTTTTTGTTGCTCATTTTAAGAAAAACAAGGTGCAAGACTTATTGTCTTTGAAGCTGGAAAAAATAGTGGTTTGTTTTTTTTTTTTTAATACTTAGCAGTTGGTAATAGGGCTTTTATTTTTAGAAATAAGGATCTAATAATGAATATTAAATGATGTCTCACCTGTATATTTTCCTCCCTGTCAGGCATTGGTCCAAAGTGCTGAAGAATTTGAGTGCGAAATTTGTTTCTTAAGTTTTGGAACCAACTGCAGGCCTGATTGTAAACAAAATTGTGCAGCTCTCTCAATTTCTTTAGTTCTTCATCAGCAACCTGTACGAGGAAGGTTGTGAAAATATGATTGTGATAAAGAAACAATTAAGAGGTTTAAGCTAAAATCAAAAAACACTCAACTATATTTAGATACATTTCTTGTGTTCTCCGTAGCCTTGACTGCTATTGACTGAATGGTAAATAAGTATTTTGATATTTTTAAAGTTACAGCTTCAAACTATTGTTGAAAAAAAAAAACCTATGGTTTTCTTATTTGTTTTATAGTAATAAAAAAAAAAATAAGCTAGCTTCTAGGGACCTAAAAATTTGAAAGAGAGCTTTCCAGAAAAAATCAGGCAAAAATCTTGATATATTAATACTAGTAAGTATTTAGACATCATTCTGCATACCTTAACATCTTCCAAATATTCAATGTCTGCAGTGCAATAACCATCTTTCATCCCTCTCCGTAAAACTCTAAATCTCTTTCCACCAATTGTATCAACAACAGAACGTCCATCAGGTAGAAAATGAACGTTCCTAATTTGCAGCATGCAACCATAATCTGCAAAACTAAAAAGACACCTTGTCAGTAATGCAATTACTCACTTCTGAAAAGATGCTTTTTGAAATTAAAATGACAAAAAGATGGAAGCTTAGAATTAGGATGTAAACCTACCCATTTTGAGAATCACTTATGCACATCCCAAACTGTTTCGTTCCAGTTTCCATACTCCTGCGAATCATGAGTCGGTATCTTGGCTCAAATACATGTAGAGGACAAGGCACAGTAGGATATGCCATAGTGCAAACAAACATTGGAACATTCTTGGTCAAGCTTCAAGAGAACATAAAAAGAAATATACACCTTCAAAATCTGAACATTGAGCTATGCCGAGACAAAATATTTTTTTCAGTATGTCTGCTATATTTGAGGTCATAAAGCACACTTTTCAAAGTCAGAACATGTAGAAAGTTTAATGAATGATAACCCATATACTAGTAATAGTGACTGCAAACCTATGTACTGATTTGCATATATACTGGACAGTAAGACTCACTGCTATCTACGTAGTGAGTACCTAGTCAGTGAATAAAGGCCTCTGTTTTGGGGTGGGAGTGTCAGCTGCTTTTTAATTTTTGCTTTAGGTTGCGCTATAAAAACAATTAAGCCCTCAGAGACACAGTTTTCCTGTAAGTAAAAGATGTACTAGTAACTACACAGTAGCTAGGTCACTGTTTAGATTATTTTCAAGGAGGGACTCCAGATCACAAGATGTAGCCCAGTGTATAATTTGCACCTTGCAATATGCCAAAGCAGACATAACTGAAAAACAAAATATTTTTTAATCCTATTTTATCAAGTATGTATAGTTGATAGTAGATACAATAAAGTTATCATTAAAACATTACTTGGTTTTTAATTTTAATGCCTTTCAGACTATAAAACCTAAATAAACTATAAATAGGTTGCAGGAGCTATAATGTTAAATAGTTTTCCAGCATTCATATCTACAATACATGATGCTCTATGTATTTGAAGAACTCTCTATGAGATAAACATGTTTACAAAAAATCCCAAAAACTTTTATTACATTTATCTGTGTAAGATTAATGTCTAGCATTAATTACTTTGCAAGAAATTCAAGTCTCTGAGACTCTGAAGTCAAATGAAGACAATTTCATTAACAGCAGCAAAACTAAAACCAAAGCTCCCTGACAGTGCACTCAGAAAGAGGAATGGAAGGGGAAACATGCTTCATAGAATCATAGAACAGCCCTAAGTTGGAAGGGACCTTTAAGATCATCTAGTTCCAACCCCTCTGCCATGGGCAGGGACACCTTCCACTAGATAGGTTACTCAGAGCCTCATCCAACCTGACCTGACCAACCTAGTGACCTTCTCAATGATGGAGTTACAAGGGAAGGGCTACAGATATCATTTTATCTGTAAAGAATTCCCCTCAATGTCCTCTCCAAAATGAAGAGAGATGAATTTGATGGGTGGGCTGTTAAATGGATAATAAAGGGTTGGATAGTTGCACCCAGAGGGTAGAGATCAATGGCTCAGAGTCCCAGTAACCAGAACCAGGGGTCTATACTGGGACCAGCACTGTTTAATGTCTTCATCAATGACACAGACAAAAGGATCCACTGCATCCTCAGCAAATTTGCTGATGATTCCAAGCTGAGTGGTGTGGATGGCACAACTGAAGGATGGGATGATGTCCAGAAGGACCTGGACAAGCTTCATACTTCTTCTTGCACCCATAATATACCACAGTTAATGACTATAAAAATAATAAAATATTTCTAAAATGGATATCCATATTAATTTCTCAAATTTTTCAAGACAGGAAGCTTACTTGGAGTGTTCTGCAGTTTCTTCAGCATGAATTCTTTTTCTCTCAAATAATTCATCAGACAAATATTTCATTATTAACTCCTCCAGCAGTTCTGTGATACTGTATTTTCTGCTTGCAAGGTACTGTAAACAATTAAAAAAATATTTTAATGTATCTTAACAAAAGGCTTGATAAAAGGGAGATTTTTTATAAAAATATGATCTATAAAATGTGACAAAACTCATGAAAGCTTAAAGCTCTAAAGTTTTTATGTTTCATTAATTAAAACCTAATGATACTCTAATATTTGAAAATTAGATTCTCTGTGTAAGTTCTTAGTGCCTGACAATTTGAATGTCTAACTCAGTTTGTATCTCTATGCTCACCAGAGACAGAACTGACTTCCCAGGATATACAGCAATAGCAATAGGAATAGTGTATAGTAATCACAGAGAGGTTTAACTGAATAGACACTGAAGTTTACAAATATGCAGGACTGAATTACACCACTGAAGCAAACAGTCACAGAAACAAAACCTCTAAGACCCTGAGACCCTTTTCCATTCTAGCAGTAATCCATAGCCCAAGCAAATCCAAGTTGTTGGGTTCAAGAGAAACAGCTTTTAAAATCATACAGTATTTGTACTTGTGAGCTTTATTGAGAAACAATACCTCTTTCAAACTCTCCTTACAGAGTGGACACTGTGGAGCATGATCTAAACACCGTTCCAAACAACCTTTGCAAAAAGTATGTCCACAAGGGGTTGTTACTGGCTCAAAGAATACCCTGAAACAAAATTATTAGACATTAGATGTCATGTCCAGTGTGTGTTTTTCCAAAAATGTCAGTCATTAATCTCTTGAATTTTTAGGACTAGTTATGTTATAACAAAGTAAAGAAACAATTAGTCCCAAGGCTCCTTATTCTACTTTTTCCTCTATACTGCAGTTTGTTTCCATTTACTGCAACACTTGTTGTTTTGTTTTCTGATGAAGCTGGACACATTCCAAAACTCTAGGTAACTAAACATTTACCACAATATACAAAGATTTTGGTCTCCTTACAGAGATTCACAATACACAGAATTATGTGATTCTTTGAGAAACTGTTGTTTTAACAGCAGTAATACATATTAATAACATAACTATGAATAGTTAAGTACACACCGTATGTTTTATGGTATTTATTCTAAAAATCAAGATTATTCAGTAAGATTTTCAAATACAACCTACAAGGTTCACAATGCAAGGCTATGCTTCTAAGCATTAACCTTCCCAAAATAAGTTTTATTGATTGAAGAACCCCTAACATTTAATCACAAAAGATCCTGTCCTTTGATGGTGACCAGTTAACACTGCCAAGTTTAACTAAAAAGGTAACTTGATTAAAACAGTCCTACAGTATATAGCATTGTAGCAAGTGACATTTAAATACACATTTAAGTGCAGGGATAGCAAAAAGCTGCAAATTATTGACTGATATCAGAACTCAACAACTTACAAGTACCTCCGTTTGTACCTGTAACACATATGCAACCAAGCATCTGTAGCTAATATTGAATCAAGGACAAAATCTTACCTCATACATAGAGAGCACTCAAAATCTGATACATCAATCAAATCCCCTGGGATTGCTCCAAAAGCCAGTGTTATGTCCCTTTTTGTACTTTCTAAGGAAAAGCAGAAGATACTTCTTCAAACAAAGCCACAAGGCAGTAAATACTTCAAATTTCACAGTAATTGACTGTTTACCTCCTTGCTTTTTGTGTTTGTTTCTTCCATCTTCACATACAACTGTATCCTGTTCTGAAAAGGAAAGCTTTCTTTTTAACAAAGCACCTTTTCCTTGGCCAGACAGGAGGGGTTCAGAAGACACTCTCTTTAAGCCATCTTCCTTGGCAAGGTCTTTTGTTGAGTTAAGAGCATGGGCAGACTGTGCACGATTTAAGCCTCCACTCACAGGCTCCAGTACATCTGATCCCCCTAAACTCTGTAACAGTAAGATGAACCAAACTGTATTCTAAGAGTAACACAAATCTAAGTATGTGAGACATGACTGTGCAAAGATATATAAGCCAAACTGATACTCACAGTTAGTGGGTACCTATTAGTTAATTAAAAAAATTTCTAAGTCAACATGGTACTCAAATTTGTTTAGCATTAACAATTCAAAAATCTTCACCCACTTCAAACAGAACAAAAATTGTATTTCATCTGCTTCAAAAAAAATAATTGTATTTCTCTTTATCTTGAAGTCCCTAATGTCAAACTTCAGTACCTTCTAATACTGTATTTATTGCTCATTCTAGTAATTACTAATAATGAGGAGTATAGAATTAGGAGTTTTAACACTACAAGTGAAAATAAATTACTTCTAAACCACGCTTCTTTTCCTCCAATTTAGCCAATTGCATAAAATCAGTATTTACACTTAAAAGTATGATAAATCAGGCTATTAGTACATCTGATATATACACATCAGTCAACGACAGAAGTTACTGTAGAGTTTTTATTACCTGTGGAGGACAAAGCTGTAAGTTGCAGTAAGATGCAGTCACCTCAGAACCATGTATAAAAGGTTTATTTCTAATATGGGGTGAATTCCAAGCAGATTCCTTCAGACTCTCACCTAACTTCTCTGGTGACAAAACATCACACAATATCTAGAGAAAATGGCTCAATGTTAATAACAACGAAAAAGAATCCAGACATACCTTTGTTAAAAATTTACATATCAAAAACTAAGAAGGTAATCTACATGAAGTTATTCTCGTGAACATATCTTTACTCAAGCAGTAACTGTGAAGGCAGAGTTGAAAACAAACAGAAACCTACACACCTACATTGCTAAAGAAATTTATCTAGAAATCTTTTCTACTACAAGTCAAACAGAGTTAGATGTTATCAATTCAGTATTATGCAGCTTTTCAATGTAAATTTTTATTATCATAGGAAAAACTTTTGTGCTCTGGGTACAGAGGGTTTCAACTTGGAAAATTTCACTTGTTGCCTGCTTTCCAGTAACTTCGAATGCACCTGTACTTTTCAAGATGTATGTAAAACATGTACATTGGGACTAACTCTTCAACATAGTATGATTTATGAAATATCTTAAAAGGAATCTGCCACCTAAACATGTGTTTTCTGTATGTAAAGAAGATTTTAGATGCTCAAAATCTATCATAATGCGAGTTTCATAAATGAGTCAAGTCAGAGATGGGAATCTAGTATCATAAATAAAATTACCTTTTCTACTTCTAGCTTGGCTGGAAGAAAGTCCTCATCAAGGGCTAAGCACTGTAGAAACAGTTGTAAGGCATCTCCTACAAAGCCAGAGTCTTGCAGAACTTTTCCTTTCTGAAAGTAGACCTGAGAAACAGATACCACAAAGACATTTGTAGAGAATAGGGGGAACTGCAGTATTGATCTTACAGGCATTGCAACAGTGTTAGAATCAGAACCTTCCATGACAGAAAGAATGCAGCTTTAACAAATTTGAACTGTGCACAGTGTGCATGATACAAATCCCTTACAGTGTTTGAAAAGAGTCGTGGGATAGGTTGGTGCAAGTCTTCTTCCAACTAACTTGTTTTGTCTTATATAAAGGGTTAAAAACCTCACTAGTGCTGAATTCATAGCCCTTAATTTGCCTCTTCTGTGAGCATTTGGAAAGGAAGAAGAGGGACAGGAAATGCAAATTATTACATAACCTCACACAACAGCTTACAGAATACTTTTTTTGCCCTCTCTTTCATTAAAAGCCTTATGGTTCCAACGTTCAGAAGGGTGAATACAAAAAAAACAATCCACACAACTGCTCACCCCTTACATACATCTCAACATATAGTCTTAAAATAAAACAATGTGCTCTCAGAATTAATTGCTTCTTCAAACTACATTTTATGCTTGAACACTGGACACCAGCTAGGGGGGAAAAAAAAAATCTCTGTATTGTTTTCTTTGAAAGAAAAAAAAGAGGGAGGAAAGACTACCGGATTTCGCTGAACCTACTCAAAAGTAGATGACATTGAAATAAGAATTTATCTCAACTTTTAAAAGTTGCACTGACAGTAACAGAAATAGTTAAGTTAGATAAAACCAACAGGTATCAAAAAAAAGTTAAAACAATAATATCTATTTGTATATAGGAATATGGATAATGGACCAAAAACTAAACTTAAAAAACAAACAAATAAACAAAAAAAGCCCAACAACACAAAACAAAACAACCAAAAAAGACTCTACCAAACCCAAGAATGCAGTTTCTACAGAATGACTGATAGTACGAACAGTAACATCTGTTCAACTAGACTGTCAGATAAGGACACACATAATCTTTGATGGATTCGGGCAGCTTCCTTTAAGATGAATTCTGAAGAAGGGAAGTTTGCTCGTCCTCCTCTTACAGACAGTTTGTTTTCCTACAGAGGTAAGGATTGTTATAGGAATACATCTATCAAACCAAGCTCAGTTAAGTGAAGTGACACTTCTTTCCAAACATACAGAAAAAAGTAGACAGTACTATGAACACTGAGAACAGAAAAGCAGGAGGCTTTATGAATTCGCAGTAGCCACGGAATTGCTGAACACAGGAGAAACAAGATCTCCCTTGTGTGGCAAGATCTTACTGCTCCTGCTGAGTTCAGAGTTTAGACAGTGTAACAACATGCATTCTGAAGACCACAGACTCCCCAGCTGCCTGTATTAATTGTAAAGCTCAGTTCCCAGTGAGTTTATTTAGCTTTTTGAAGATAAACTTTTCAAGCTAAAACAGCACTGTCCCTCTGTTAACAAAAATTAACAACTAAACAAAACAAGCCCCAAACCCCAGCTGTTACAAGTTACATCACCATGAACTATTCCAACTCTCAGTGTATTTGTCAACCAGCTCTAACCTGCCATACTCACCAGGAGCCTGTCTGATACAAGTTAACTATTTTAAAGATTACTTTTAGGATTTTGCGTGTCTTAAGAGACAACATTTAAAGTAGCTGGCCTAAGTTTTTAAATCAATGCAAATATAATTTGGAATTTATTAATTTTACAAACACAATATTGAGAAATGATTATTCATACCCACTTACCTCTGGCCAATTTGGCATTTTGGAAATAACAAAATTTAGATCTTCTATGGCTGTTTTATATTCTTGGAGGCCAACATATGACTCAGCTCTGTAAATTCTTAGCATCAAGTCACTGGAATCTGCAGACAGAAATTAGGTAAAATCTTTTAAAAGTAAGAATTTTGTAATTTTTAATTAAATTTGCTTTCATAGTGATATGTCATAATTAGGTAAAATCTTTTAAAAGTAAGAATTTTGTAATTTTTAATTAAATTTGCTTTCATAGTGATATGTCATAATTACAATTTTTTGTACAATTCTTCCAAAATTAGTGGAGAACCTTCTCCCTCACTCCCTATGTTTGGCTAACAGAAGTGGCAGTAATTCCCAGTTTATGTCTCCTAAACTAAGGAACAAATTTTGGAACATGATGTATGTCTCTTGCAGCAACAAGAAAATTTATTTTCAAATACTGAACAGAGAGGCTCAAAAAGCACTGCTCAGTACTGCTGGGACAACAATAATTGAGGACTAAATAAACTTTATCTTTACAGTATAACCAATCAAAACCACAGAAAACTGGGAATACACCACACTTGTATTAAAAGCCTAAGTATTACAAAGTTTGATTTCAAATACCCAAGTCTTTCTACAGACTGCAATTTGTTTTTATAGTGCCTGACCCCTTCTGACAATGGCTGGAGATGCCACTGTGGCATCCATCTGGGAGGTACCAGAACCAGGCCTTATCACTATGTGATAAAAACAGATAGAAAATTCCAGAAAGCCTTTAGCATCAGTTGGCAGCCCTGTTTTAAGGAGTTGTAGTAGTGGAACTCTAGAGTGGGAAAAAAGCAGGATGTGTTCAGTGAGACCAAATTCCCATGTCAGACATATAGTATTTTGCACTTGCAGTACAGCAACCTCTAAATGGGAAGGAAACCCATCTCCTTGCCACTAAAACAACAGTTTTGTAACACAACTAATTGCAGTTGCTGCTTGGAAAAAAAATGCCAGAACACTGTTTTGATCTTAATTGTTTTTTAAAATAGACCTGATTTTGATTGAATAAGATAAACTAGTCAAAGGTTGGTCTACCGTAAACAATACTAAAATCAAATAGTTCTTTAAGTTTGTTTCAAAAAAGGCTTGGAGGCTATCATTTCAATTTAAAAAATCTTAGTTTATTCTAGATGTCTAGTATAACTTCTCATAAATTTCCAACATTAGCCTGTTCTACAGTTAGGAGACATACTGGTCAATATTCCCATAGATTGTAACACACTGCTTTGTATTTAGATTCCCAATGCTATATGTAAAAAGATCTTAATGTAAAAGAAAGGGTCAAGAAAATCAGAGAAGAATTAAATTAGCTGAAAGTAGAGTGTCTCCCTGATTTGTCTTTCTTTTGAGTTGATGGTTCCCCCTCAAACACAAATATTGCCAAAGCCAGTTTGTTTCATTTTCTCATTCCACATAATAAAATGGTTGTTTTAACTGAATTCCGGGACACTCTTTTTGTCTGAGTAAAATACAAATTCTGCAAGCAGAACAACTCTGAAGCCTGGTTTCCTGCAGCTGTGTTTGGTGTCTGCTATAGCCTAGCAAGGTAAGAGCTTAGATTAAACTCTTCAGATAGTTTTTAGTGTTGTACTTGACTCTTTGATGTCCAACAGAGTCAGTAGCAAATCGAACTCCTTTGTCCAGAGGCAGCAGTAAGTGCAGGTCTTTGTTCTCTGATAAGCTGCCTATTTGCACAGAATCAGAGGAAGCTCATCTGTTTCTGCCTTTCAAGTGCAGAACATGAGCTGAGGAACTCCGAGCCTTTTTTCCTAGGGGGAAAACGAGGGCTAGTTCAAAGATAAATATGTGAGTTCAAGTGTACAGCAGGTGGGCACTTTACCCACTTTTTTTTCCCAAAAGAAATGCATGATTCCAACTGAACTAATACAAAACAAAGAGTTTAGCTGAGATCCCAACTTTGCTGCTGAAGATACAGTCATTGAATGATCAATAGATATGACAAACTGGGCCTGAATATTCAGAAGACCAAAGGCAGATGATTACTAGTAGTGTTTCTCAAAGCTTAGTACTGGGGCCAATCTTTTTAATATCTTCATCCATGATCCAGACAAGGGGATAGAGTGCACCAAAAGTTCATAAACGACAAAAGTTGGGTGGGACTGTTGACCTGCTGAAGGACAGGATGCTTCTGCAGGGGGATCTGGATAGACTCAATCAATGAGCCAAGGCTATTGGTTTGAGGTTTAGCAAAGCCAAATGCTGGGTCCTGCACTTTAGTCACAACAACCCCCTGCAGTGCTACAGACTGGGATAAAAGTGGCTGAAAAGCTGCTCAGTGGCAAATGACCCAGGGAATGCTGTTCAACAGCAGCTGAACATGAGCCAGTGTGTGCTCAGATAGCCAGGAAAGCCAAAGACATCCTGGCCTGTAGAAGGATTAGTGTGGCAGCAGGACCAGGACAGTGATTGTCCCCCTGTACTCGGCACTGGTGAGGACATACCTCAAGTGTATGAACTGTGTCCAGTTCTGAGCCCTTCACTACAAGAAGGACATTGAGGGGCTGGTGCAGGTCCAGGGAAGGGCAATGAAGCTGGTGAAGGGTCTGGAGCACAAGCTGAGTTCTCCTGAGTTTAGTCAGGAGAAGTCTCAGGTGGTACCTTATCACTCTTTACAACTACCTGAAAGGAGGCTGTAGACAGTTGTGGGGCGGTTGGCTCTCTCTTCTTCCAGGTAACAAGCAACATAATGAGAGGAAATGGTGTCAAGAGAGGTTTAGTATGGGTATCAGGGACTATTTTTTCACTGAAAGGACTGTCAGGCATGGGAATAGACTGCCCACAGCAGAGTTAAATTCCCTGGTGGAATTTAAAAATATGTAGATATGGCATTTAGGGACAGGAGTGATAGACTTAGCATTCAGATGGCTGGATTAATGATATGAGAGATATTTTCCAACCTAAATAATTCTCTGTTTTTATCTAAATTTATAGACTTTTTAAACCACAACTTAATTTCTAGGCTTTGTTACAATGAAAAACAATTTTGCAATGTTTCAGCATATATTTTAATGTTTTTCAGCTAAAGTTTTGAATCTTTGGCTCAAAGCAGAAACATAGCTAGTTCTAAAACTTTCAATTTCAGTGACCAAATATATTGTAAATACAGAAATCACACACTTCTAGCATCCCAAGACAAATGATTTTAACAAAAAAATGTACTAAGTATTTGCAGCATAGAGCTGTATGTATCAATTGTTATTATTACATTAATAGGAAATTATACAAAGGTGTACACACAAGAACACATTCAATAGTCTAGAGTTTTACATTACTTCCAAAGCATCTGCTCTTATTGTAAGTATAAATATACCAATAAATGGACCACCTCTGATCTGATTCTTCATGCTTTTTATACGGTTCTTAATATGCCAAATTTTTCAAAATAATATGCACATTAAAAACATTACATAGAAATAACTATTTATTAACACAGTACTACATGGCCACCCTAAAAATCAGAGCTGGAATACACAACCCTTAAGAGCCAAAAGAACTGGGCTTATTTAGCAGAAAGTAATTCCTGAAAGCATTGGGAGAGCACAACAGCTTTTCAGAATCCAAAAGTGGGTTACCTAGAAGACTCTACTGAAGTACGCAGTAAAAAAAACAAAAGAGACAATGGCTATAAAACAAAACAATGTCAGTTAAGACTTGAAATAAGGAAAAGATTTTTCGCTATGAGGATAATTAACCTTTGAGCAGATCGCCCAGAGAGGCTGTGGAATTGTCAGTTTGTAGGTTTTCATGATCCAGCTGTACAAAACCTCAAACAAACTGCTCTGATCACAGTATTTGTTCTGCTTAAACAGGAGACTGATTGCTCAACGTATCTCCTGATGTCCACTCGAGAAGGAATGAGTGAGAAGCAGATCAAATTCAACCCACTAGTGGTGTGTTTCAGGACACTTGATTAAAGGCAAGCTGCACTTGTATTTTAATTTAAGAGAGCTCCTTTAACTAAGCTATTTCATTTCAGCAAGGAATATACTAGCTATATGAATGTTAACATTATTTTGGTTTTTAAAGTCACTTTTGTATAAGGGCAAATACGACTCTTTCAAATGTTTCAGAAAGAGAAGAAAGTTATGAAAAGATGCCATTTGAGTAGAGGTTTACCATCAATGACATATTTAGGACAGATTTAAGTTTATCACAACTTTTTATCTATATGCATTAAAAAGAAACAGATGAAGCAGCAGTAAGGAAACGCTGAAATGGAACACGAATTATTTTAAACATGAACACATTTCTTATGCTACATCTTTTCCATCTCTAAGTGTCTTCAAAATTCAAGGTTTGAAGGAACATGGAAAGTATACCAGCAGCTATTAATTTATCTATTGACCTGGAATCATCTTCAATTTGTGGTTGTGAATCCGCAGTTCTAAATTCACATAACATATGCCTACACACTGATGCCCAAAGTTCTTCAGTATCTTTTCCAGAATATGTGTAATGTTGATAATTGTAAGGATTGGAGACACAGAATGGACCTTAAACTGAGCTTCTAATACTTAATTATAGCACATGTACTGAACTTGAATAATAAAATTTTGAACAAGCATCACAGCTGGTAAGTATACTCAAATTTCAAACCCATTTTGAAGCCAAAAAGAAGATGCAGATTCACATAAAAAAGAATCAAAATTCTTTCCCCATATTTAGGAATATCTAAATAATCTTCCTAAATCCATAAAAGAAAGATTAACAAAAACTGTGTAATTATTTCAGTCTTTTATTCTTTCAAAGCAGTCTTGAAACATGAAAAAGGAGCCCTGTAAACATATGTGATCAGTACTGGATTCATCAATTTTACCCTGGAAACTACTGAGATTTCTTTTTGACCTGTATGAGTCAAAGCTGTACTTCAGGAAGAAGTCTGCATCTTATAGTTTCAAGATTTAAAATCCATCTTGTATTCTTACACTTTGGAAACACCCTGGAAAATAAAGTAAAATCAATAACCAAAGCTAAACCCCTTAAAATTAGGTTGCCAAAAAGCATATAAAACAGATATTCGACTTAATCCCACCTACATTGAGAACAGTTTATTCTGGAGCTAGACCTAATGTATCTCCCCAGAACAGGTTGGAAGGATTAGACTTATGCAAGCTTTTGGTTTTTTATCTCCACTGCAGACAACTGTATAAACGTAATACACTTAATCTGTAAAAATATTAATTTCTAAATTACCAAACAGAAAAAAAAAAATATCCTGGTATAATTCATAACAGAACCTCCCATGTCACCAGGTGTTAAAATCCATAGTCAAATTAAAATAACAAAGGAATCCCTCGCTGGATCCATCTAGGTGTATCAATCACATAAATTTGACTCTCTATAAAGAGTAAACTTTGAAAAATTGAGCGTATCTTAGGAGTCCATGGTACCAGCCAGATTGCGACGGATATAGGATAGCCTAAAAGCGTGCCTCTACCTCCCCTCTTTGGACCCTCTTCAACACTATATAAAACTCCAACCACACCCACCTATGATGTCACTGCCATTACACAACCTGTCCCCCTCCGTGCCTGTCTGCTTATGCAACTCGGCCCGGCCTGCTGGGAATTGTCTTGGTGACACTTAAGACTGAAAATAGGTCTCTCTCTCTCAGGAAACAAGGTTAAATACACCAACGGAATTTCTCTTTGCCCGCGCACAGCGATTACCCAACACAAACCGAAGCAGAGCCCACGGACTCCTCTGTAAACAAGTCCCACAGAAGCGTGCGGGGGGAGACAGACCGCAGCCCATGCGGGACGCTCGCCCACCCCTCTGGAGTAAGCAGAAGCAGGTGTACCCCACTAGCAGGCTGGGCGCCCAACCAAGGGCCGGGCAGCCGCGCGTCCCCTCCACTCCGCTCTCCCAATGGAGAGGTTCCTCGGATCCTCTCAAACTCGAGAAAACTTCGGACGCTCTTCATCGGCACGCGTCGATGGCTGACGGTCCCGCCGCACTCGGGGATAAGGGCACATCCACCTACTCCACCACACCCCCAGCCCCCCGAGCCTGCCGCCCCGGGCCGCTAGCCCGCCCCGGTCCCGCCGGGACACGGGCGGCACCGGCGGAGCCCGCGCGGCCCCGGCGGGCGGCAGGGCGGAGGAAGGGAGCGCTCCCCACAGCCTTACCTGCTCGCAGAGCCTGGTTGGCGGCGCCCAGCGCCTCTCGGAAGCGGCCCTGGGTCAGCAGCTCCTCCAGCCGAGTCCCTGCCCTCGCCCTCTCGCACTCGCCCGGGAACCACTTCTCCGCCAGCCGGTTGAGAACGACGCTGGTGCGCAGCGGGGCCGCGGCCGTGCTGGTGCCCCCCGCCGGCAGCAGCCAGTCCCGGCAGCGGCGGCAGCGGGCCCGCAGCTCCCTGCGGAGGCAGCGGCGGCAATAGGTGTGCCCGCACGGGACGGTCACCGGCTCGCCCAGGAACCTCCGGCAGCCGCAGCAGCGCAGCGGCCCCTCGGCCCCGCGCTCCCGGCCCCGGCGCGGCCCCTGCCGCAGGCGGTAGTTCAGCACCAGGCAGTCCACGAGGGTCCCGAGGCGCTGGGCTCCGCCGAGGGGGCCGAGGCACAGCGACGCCAGGGACGCGCCCACCGCTTCCTTCAGGCGGCTCGCGGGCACCAGCCGCGCCAGCGGCAGCTCCCGCTCTTCGTCCGCCCCCTCGCCGGGGCCCCCGCTGCCGCCCGGCTCCGGCGGCAGCTCCGAGCCCACGGCGGCGGCGGGAGAGGACGCTGCCATCGGCTGCGCGGCTGCGGCGAAGGGGGTGTGGCGCTCCCGCTCCGGCCGCCGGGACGGGCTCCGGGCTCGGCGCGGGCGGGGGGCGGGAGGAGGCGGGGGGAGGTTACAAAACACCGCTCCACGCGCGCGCCGCCAGCCGCGCGGTCACGTGGCGGGCCGGGGCGGGCCCGCCCGGGAGCGGCCGGCTCGGGGGCGGCGGTGCCGGACCCCCCCGCGGCCCGCCGGCACCGGGCAGGGGGCGCGCCCCGGCCGGGCCGGCTGGCGGGGCCAGAGGGACGGCCCTGCGGGTTGACTCCGGGGAGCGGCTGCCGTGGTGAGGGTCGGGCGCTAGCAGGGCTGTGCGGGAGGCAGGGATAGAGGGACAGAGTCACCGGGGCCGGGAGAGGGGTCTGCAGCGGGGAACGGGGCTCTGTAGCTGCCGTGGTCCCGGAGGCATCACCCGGCGGGCGCCCGCCGCCCTCCCTGCGGCTGCTGCTCGCACTCGTCTTGGGCCGCTTGGGCTTGCCCCTCTTCCTTCTTTGTTAGTCTTTTAATGGAGGACACGATAAGATAAAAGTTACAAGGTTAAGGAAAAGCTCTTTGTCCTTAGGGCTTGTTTCCCCCCCTCTCTCCCCGAGTGTTCGCAGCCCTCGCAGGACTCGGACGCGCCCGGCGGGCAGCGAGCCGCGCTCCCCGCCAGTGTGCTGCCGAGGCGGGCTCTGCGGGGAAGCACCTGATCGGTTTCGCCTCAAGTAGTCCCACTGGGAAATGCTCAGGCTTTCCAGGTGAACGCCAGCCTCTAAAGGAAGCTTGAAGCCTATTGCATAAGTGCTATGTATTTATAATTGTTACAGTGCCTTTTTTTTTTTTTAACGTTAGAAGTCTGTCATATATCCAGACGTTTCAGATAAATATAGCAGTACCTTTAAAACCTTCCAAGGAAAGCTTGCACATCAAGAAAATTAATATATGACTGTACGAAAGGAGCAAAGCTATATATATCTTCAGCTGTGTTCCATGTATGGCAGGCTGGAAGATGATGCTAAAGGTTGTTAAGAGAGCTGTAGGCAAACATGGCATGATTGGAAATAACTAGACACATCTGGATTTACATTCAAGTGTTTTGTCTGACCTCAGTACTCTAAGCTTGGTCCTTTGCCAGTGGCTTTCAAGTTCCTAAAGTCAAAGAAAAAAGATGCTATGGTAATTGAAGCATGAGGGCACCATGGGTATATTTTAAATATGGATAGGAAAGATGGTCTCTTACAGTAATCAATTAAAAAATTGAGTGAGTTAGGAAATTTTTTATCTTTTGATCTAAGGATCAAAGTAAAGTAGATATCTGTAATATGAACTTGAGTTGTAATGGGATGTTGAGGACTGCTTTGAATTATTATGAATGGTTTTAATGGATTACGGATTCTGGTGTGGACATGTCAAGCATGAGTTGGCCCCTCACAAAGAATTTGAGTTAGCCAATTTGGACAAAAGTACTTCTCTGAAAGAAGTACTGTTAAACAGTAGTTTATTTTGCATTCCAGATTAGATTACTTGTGGAAATACAGAAGACAAATAAAACAGGACAAACCCCAAGGGCTTGTGGGATTAGAATTAGAATAGTAAAGCTGTCCTCTGATGAAACAATTTAAAACAGTAGAAATGAAAACATGTTTCCACCATTGCCACTTCCAATAGGTCCTATTAAAGTTCATACATTAGTGATTCAAGCAGTCAATGCAATCAGCTGTTTTACATAATTTCCAGTGTAAAGGCACAAAATACTCATGGCTTTGCCAGCATTAACATCTTGGAGCAGAAGAATTGAGGTTTTTCCCCATTATCTTTCCCTGCAAAACTGAAACAGTGAAAAAAGGGATTTGAAGTAGGATGAATGAATATATAGGTAGGGAACCTGACATTTTTTATTTCTCTCACTAGTTGTAGAAATGTCTGTATCTCGGAGATTATTTACAAGAAAGCTAGACTATATATTCACCTGGTCCTTATTCTCTAGACATTATTTTTTATCCATGTTGGAAATGATACTGAGCCTCGTTAGACTGTGAAATTACCCAATGTTAACACTCTTGTATCTTTGAACTACAGTTGATTCTCTGAGCTTTGGTTTTGGTGTATTACTCCACCTTTGGCATATTTAACTAAACAAGGAAAAAGCATTCAAATTTCAACATTTTTACTGTGTTACCATCAGGATGTTATCGTTATGTAAGAGAGGGAAAAAGACATTTTCAAGATTAGATAACAGGCAGCTCCACCACCACTCCATTAAAATAGCACACTCAAAAAACCTTTTTTTTTGTTTTTTTTCCTGGCTTGTAGGGTCAGATAAATGATATTTTAAAATAGCAAAGCCTTGCCATTATGCAGTTCATGTGGGCCATTCTAAGAAAGACTTCAGGGACTGTCCTTTCCCTTCCTGCTGTAGAGCAGTATTGTACTGCTGGTTATGGATGTTGGTGGTTCTCATTCAGGAAGGTATCTGCAGAGCACTGTGCCTTCAGTATAGTGAGGTAGGAGAAATTCCTTTCTTATTCTTTTAAGGTATTGGTTGAACGTTTTTGAAGCAATTCCTTGTATGAGTAGTGTGCGCAATCTACATGAGATGACAATAAAACAGTAGTTTAAGTTGTATTTGATCCCACTTTAGTTAAATTAAGCACAGTTATTGTGATTCAAGGTCTTCAGAAATTAGTAGCAGTATAAACAAAGTAAAGCAAGACCAACCCAGATTAGGGAACAGGCAGTGGACCTAAAAATTAATGCCTACATACTGGAAATCTGGAGCCAAGCCCCATTTTTACAGGTTCTAGGCATATACCCCATAAAGAAGTAGTTAACCCAAAAGATATGGTTGTATTCTAAGAGAAAAAATGGCTTTCTGGCTGTTTCTCCTCTTTTTCTGTGAAGGTAAATGCTAGTTACCCAGCTATTGTAACTTTTTGCAAAGAAATGTGTAGCAGAGGCAAAATAAAATTAATAAGAGAAAGATTAGGCAAATAAGAGTTATACTTAGAAAAGCATAATATAAAACTATTTTTTCTACCACAAAACACTTAAATATCATTTCTTCTAGGGAAAAAAAAAAAAACTCCAAAAAAAAAAAGGAAATATCAAGCCATATTTAAAATTCTTGAATGGCTTTTGAAGACCTTAGCTGATAATGCTTGAGTTCCTTCAGCCCTGGTTAAGAAATGATGCTCAGAATCAACTATGATTTGTTTTGTTTCAGATTTTCATGGTTGTTAAGTAGAATTTTGGGGCTTTAGTGAGATCTAGCAGAGAGATTTTTAAATGGAAAAATCCTCAGCATCACTGCAGTAAAACAGACACTAATCCTTGTTTGTGCAACGTAGTGGTGGGCAAAAGTTGGTTTTGAATTTTTTTTTCAGTTAGGAGTGGTCAAAAAGCTGCATTTGCAGCTTGGTCTCAGAAGGTAGTTACGGTAAGCTGAACAGGGCTAGACTGTCAGCAGTAGTGTGGCCAAGAGGACCAGGGCAGTGATTGTCCCCCTGCACTCAGTGCTGCTGCCATGCCTCAAGTGCTGTGTCCAGTTCTGGGCTCCTCACTACAAGATGGATGTTGAGGTGCTGACACAAGTCCAGAGCAGGCTAACAGAGCTGGTGAAGGGTTTGGAACATAAGTCCTACAAGGAGCAGCTGAGGATACTAGAGTTCATCCCAGAGACTAGTCTTTCCAAAAGAAAAGAATTTTAAATGAACAAGATTTATTTTAGATTTCTTTCTTTTGGCAAAGGCAAGAATTCTAGCATTTGTATGAAATCTGTTAAATGCAGTGACTTCTGTTGCACAAAACCAGTTTTTAGCTGTCTAAATAAACTGCTAATTAACAAACAGTCAAGTGCTCATTGGGATTTCCCTTCAGTGTGAAATCTGAATTCTTCATAGTATAATAGTATGGCAATTGCCGGTGGATAAGGGACAGACTGAATCTGGTCTGTAAAGCCTTTGACAGTGTTTCCCACAGTCTTCTGGAGAAAGCTTCCTGGAGCAGCATGGCTGCTCATGGCTTGGACATGTGCAGTGTTCCAGGCTGAAAAGCTGTCTGCATGGCCAGACCCAGAGAGTGGTGGTGGGTAGAGTGACATCCACTTGGCAGCCAGGCCCTATTGGGATTCCCCAGGGCTCAGTACTGGGACAAGTTTGGTTTCATATTTTGATCAATGCTCTGGGGGTAGCGGTTGGTCTCTTCTCCAAGAAACAACCAATAGAATGGGAAAATGGCCTCAAGTTGCCCGAAGGGAGGTATAAATTTGCTATAGGAAAAACTTTCCTCACTGAAAGGGTGGTCAAGCATTGGAACAGGCTGCCTCGAGCAGTGGTGGACTCACCATCTACGGAGGGGTCTAAACCACATGTAGATGTGCCAGTTAGGAATGTGGTTTAGCAGTAGTCTTGGCAGTGTTGTGTTAACAGCTAGACTTGATCTCAAAAGTCTTTTCCAACCTAAATGATTCTCTGGTTCTATATCCTCATTTTTGGTTCAATTACAGTTTTGGAGGTGTCTGCCCACTTTGTCAAAAGAGCCCTGAAGGTGATTTTGGATTTGGGGCAGTGACACCCAGAACCCAGGAGATGCTTGCCTCCTTTCTTCTTTCCCAGTTACCAGAATCCTAGTTTGTCTGTGGTGCTGAGAAGTCTCTTCTCATCTCCAAAAACAGTTTTGAGTCTTAAGATACAAATGTTAGGGACTGATTTTTTTTCTCTCCAATTAGAGACTACTTGTTTTCAGTAGATCCAATGACACTTTTGATACTTGTCTGAATGAGATTTCTCTCACTTTGATGATGATGGCAGCAATACTTGTCTTAAAAATACAAATGGCTGACAAAGATTGACCTCAGGGATTAAAAGTAGAGTGTATAAAAGGAGTGAAAGTTTAGAGCAGATTTTATCTAAAGACATAAAATCTCAGCTAGGGGAGGCTGAGCACATAAGTTTCCAAATGTGACAGAACTGACAGCCATGACCGTCAGATGATCT